AGGTAATTAACTGTCTTATACAGCTGTTGATGAAAGGTAATTAACTGCCTTATACAGCTGTTGATGAAATGTAATCAACTGCCTTATACAGCTGTTGATGAAATGTAATCAACTGCCTTGACAGCTGTTGATGAAATGTAATCAACTGCCTTATACAGCTGTTGATGAAAGGTAATTAACTGCCTTATACAGCTGTTTATGAAAGGTAATTAACTGTCTTATACAGTTGTTGATGAAATGTAATTAACTGCCTTATACAGTTGTTGATGAAATGTAATTAACTGCCTTCACAGCTGTTGATGAAATGTAATTAACTGCCTTATACAGCTGTTGATGACTGCTTTTATATCTAAGCCTGACTGTCTTTTTCGTCTTCGTGTTAGATTGACCTCTCTCAGCGACGAGTATCCACTATAGCTGGCGTTGGCGCTCAAGGGACAGATAATGAGGGCGGGGCCATGGGACCTGAGCAGCCAATCAGCTCTCCCTGGGACGTAATTCTTGGCACTGCCTGTAAGTTTTGTGGCATTATTTTTCTCCTCTGTCACTCACTGCTTGCCGTACTTTGTTGTGCCTTTTTATATTCTCTCTTTGTTTTGCTCTGCTGTCAATAATTCTTAAATCTGTCCAATCTCATATCGTCTAGACTTTGTTGAACTTTGCTATTTTTCGGTTCAGTCTCATGCAGATCAAAAGGACAATGAAAGAGGTGTGTTAGCGTAAGGTGATTACAGTTAGATTAATAATTTGCCTATCATAAAAAGGGGAGGGGCTTACATTTTTAATGTATGAAACCAGGCGCCAGATGTTCTTTTTATGCCAGGTCATGATCCCCCATCTGTCAGATGGTCAGAGAGGAGCTCTGCTCTTTCTTTCTCTTTAAAAAAAAAAAAAATCAGCCATATGTGGATCTTTACAAAACAACTATTCAATGCCACACTGTGAATGTCTCCATGCAGAGGTCGTTTGAAAATGTGTTGCATTATCTCAGTTTCTACACAATATTATCTCTCCCCCTCTCACACAGTGCTCTCTGGCTTTTTATTCTATAAAAATAAATTAAATGTTTTACATAAGAGACCAGACATAGCTGAAGATGTGGAGGAGACTGTGTATACGAGGTGAGTGTAGATGGAGACACCAGGCAACAGGAGAAGAGGACAGTCAACAGAACGTGTTTCTGGATCTGGTCATGGTGTGCAGTTGGCTCGAGATGCAGATGGAGAGGAACTGTTTTTATCTCTTGTGTCACTGGACGCTTTAAACTTTACTTCTTTTACGTATTTCCCACATTCTGCCACAATATTCAATGTTTACTTAGTCCAAATTATTTTTACAACTTCCTCTGACACAGTCACTATACATTTGATGAGTTAGCTAATTGTGTAAATGCTGAGTCAGCATTCAAACTTTTTTTTTTTTTTTTGCCGGGGGGGGGTTACACTTTTTGCACTCTATCATTCGCTACTTCAAGCTTTTAGCTAGTCTTTTGTTACCTTTATCTTCTTGCTAGTTTTTGTGCTATTTTAGCATTTAGCCAGCCTTTGCTTTATTTTAGCTAATATTTTTGCTGTTTTTTTTCCTTTTTATCTTTTAGCTGTATTTTTCTCGGTTTAGCTTCTGCAGCAAATTTTAGCCAAGTCATTCAGTCCTCTGCATTAGGAGTGCACCAATAAATCGGCCCCGATTTCCTTAATTTTGGGTGATCGGTGATTGGCCGATACTTACACGAGAAACCGATTTTACCAATTTTTTGTAGTTTTAACAACAATTGTCTAAACTTCATTTATATTTCAAAGCACTACCTCATGGCCACTTAAAACAAGTTTGTACTGTTTCTAGGATATTGTTCAAAGGTATGTTCTTCAACAAAGTAATATTGGAAAATAGAAGGCTAATTGGGACCTTATAACAGCCGACAGTGTCTCTTATAAAACAAAATCGGCAGGTCAGGCTTTTAATGGGACACATTTCTAAATGGTTGTTTTTGCATTTCTCTTGTGTGTGTAGGTGGTGCTGAAGACAACGTGCTGTGGATAGCCATGGCAGGAACTCACCAGATTTGGGCTTTGTTCCTAGCAGATGGAAAACTGCCCAAAGGAAGGTGAGAGACCTGTGCATATTTACATAATTACAAGACCACTTGGCAGCAGTAGCCTTGAGACTTTTTTAATCATGAAAGGACACAGGTGTATCTTATTTTAGACATATGTACAGGAACTCTGGTGACAAATTTTAGAATGATGTTCAATTCAATTCAAAAATACTTTCATTACAGCATCATTCAGAATCAGCAGCAATGAGGAGCTTGGCAGACTGCTGGGAGGAGTGGCCATCACGCTGGGAGGAGTTCTGCTCTGAATTCGGGCGGTCCTACAGCCCGAGGGAACTGAGAGGCTAGTCGAGTCTGGGTGGACAGATGGGACAGCATCTGCGGCCAGTTTCTTAGGATCCGCTGTGGGATGGACCTTTACAAGTGATCCTTCCAGTCTACAGCCATCAGTATCTGTAACATCTCTTAATGAAATGAGGATAATGAGTTTCAACAACAAATAATTTCCCTCTGGGATTAATAAAGTATTTTTGAATTTTGAATTTGAATTAATCCCAAAGGGAAATTAAATGTTGTTTAACTAATTTTTCTCATTTCATTGAGATGTTATAGACACTGATGGCTGTAGGCAGGAAGGATCTTTTTCAAAGGTCACAGCAGATCTGAAGAAAATGGCTGCAGATGCTGTCCAATCCATCCACCCAGACTCGGCTGGCCTCTTGGTTCTCCTGGGCTGCAGGACTGCCCGAATGCTGGGCTGAACTCCCAGAATGATGGCCACTCCTCCCAGCAGCCCGCCGAGCTCCTCATCGCTGCGGACGGACAGCTGCTGGTGTCGGGGAACAATCCCGGTCCTTCTGCTGTCACGAGCTGCGTTTCCTGCTAGCTCCAGGATCTCAGTGGTCAGGCACTCGAGCACAGCTGGCAGAGAGACGGGAATGCATCCACGGCATCTCCTTTTCAACTCATTTGAGATTTGGGACTGTTGAACAAATGTACAAGCATTATATACAAATGTTTGTAATTGTAACATTATGTACACATGTTCAGTACATTTGTACAAATGTACAGAACAAATGTTTATATTTTGCATCAAATAGATGTGTTTGTAACAATAACAAAAAAGAACCTCAGTTTTGTCGATGTCCATCAGTGTTTATCATAAAGTTCTGCTGTACAACTTTAACAGTGAGTCCAAGGCGGGGACGTGCGTGCGATGGGCCGGCAGCGGCAGCGAGGAGAACCGAAACAACGCCTACCCTCACAAGGCGGGCTTCGCTCAGCCTTCCGGCCTGGCTTCGGCCCTCAAGGAGCCCTGGAGCTGCCTGTTCGTGGCCGACAGTGAAAGCAGCACCGTGCGCACGCTGTCGCTGAAAGACGGAGCCGTCAAGCATCTGGTTGGAGGAGAGAGAGACCCGCTGGTGGGTGCAAATGTGATGGCAGATTGTTGCTACTTACTGGTTTCTATAACAAACCATCCAAAGAGAAAAGAGAGAGAATCTGAGATGGTCTGAATTTTATACTCCTAAAATCATTTACTGTTCATTTTTACTATTCTCTAGTTGTGTGAATGTTCATGAAGCATTCACACTATTGTGATCCATTTTTCTTCCGTACATTTTTCAACACGGTTCTCGTCCTGCAGTTTTCAAGCTATTGCAACAAATCATATCAAAACTTTCAGCCCTTTCAGGACAATCCTGCTATGACTTTTGGTATTGGTGCAACTTTAGCTTTTTGAAATATTTAGCCTTTTCTGCCACTTTTTTCCTCACAGAAAATGAACTGAGTTCATGTTACAACCTTGAAATCTTTGGATCTGTTTACAACCTTTTACTGCTACTTTCATATTTTGTTCTGATTCAGCTTCTTTCAGCTTCCTTGTGCAAATTTAAATATTTTTTCAGCTATTTTCAGCAAATTTCAGCTGTTTTCAGCTGTTTTGTTCTCCTTTTGGATTATTTCTGCTAACTACAACATTTTTGTTTCTTCTAACTTCTTTCTGCTAATTTCAGTTTGTTATGCTTCTTTCAGCTATTTCTGCAAGTTTCAACTTTTTCTGTTATTTCAGCTACTATTTAGCTGTTTTTGAGCTAATTATGGCTTTTTCAGCTAAGTCCACATTTTTTGCACTCATTTCCATGTTTTTCAGCCTAACTCAGCAAAAATGTTCTCTCCATTTCCTTCTTGTAATTTCAGCTACTTTCTGCATTTTTATCGAATTTCAGCTGGTTTTTTTTGCTAATTACAACTTTTTTCAGATAATTTTTATTTTATGTGCTCATTTCTGCTTCTTTCATCCTAATTGCTAAACACCTTCTTTCTGCTTTCTTCTGTTAAGTTAAGCTTGTTCTGCCTTTTTAGAAAAAAAAGCTAATTTCAGCTGTTTTCATATAAATTCAATTTTTTTGTGGTAATTCCTGCTACTTTTAGCCTAATTAACTTCTTTCTGCTAACCTCAGTTTGTGATACTCCTTTCAGCTTTTTTTAGCTAGTTTCAGCTTTTTCTGTTATTTCAGCTGTTTTATGCAAACTTGAGCTTTTTCAACTAATTCCACTTTTTTTAGCTTATTCCAGCTCTTTCCACCTCCTTGTAGGTTAGGCTTCTTTCTGCCTTTTTGCCTTTTTTTTAGATGTTTAATTTAATTTTTTTGGTGCTCATTTTAGCTTGGTTTTTTTGTTTGTTTGTTTGTTTGTTTGTTTAGCCTTTTTTCAAAATGTTCAGCTCATTTCTGCTTGCTGGTATTTAACCTAATTCAACAAATGTGTTCTTTCTGATTTCTTCTGCTAATTTAGGCTTGTTCTTTCATTTCAGCAGCTACATCCCAGAATTTTTTTTAGCTAATTTCAGCTGTTTTTCAGCAAGTTCTTCTGCAATAAGCATTCCACTGCATTTTCGCAGGAAATGCAGTCTCTCTAGTTTTATTTAAATCTGTTTATCAAAGGCACACTTATAATAAAATACACACGTCTTTGTGTATGTAGCCCTTCAGTGACCACAAAGCTTCAGGGTTGGTTTTTCATAAATAGAAAGAATGGATTTAAACCAGACCTTTTTCGTTTACTGCTAAAAATATTTTGGTGTACTTTATTTCCTTTCATCATTAAGATACAGATGTTTTTAAACTTATCACCCATAAAAAGAGATGTAATGAACTGCAAGGTCATACACAGTTTATTCATTTGAAGGGGCAAAAGGCCTGTCAAGTCCACTATTAGACTGTATTTTATAAATATACTGCTGCTCATAGAGTTTTAAGTTCTTTAGCTGATTATCAGCTGGTGGCCTGCAGGCCCTGTTCATCCCATGAACTCCTTTCATCCGGCCCAGGAAGTTGAATTTTGTTTTGTCTTCTTTGAACCAGAACCTTTTTGCTTTCGGGGATGTTGATGGGAAAGGAGTGGACGCCAAGCTGCAGCATCCTCTCGGTGTCGCCTGGGCTCCTGAACAAAAGCTGCTCTATGTGGCAGATTCCTACAACCACAAGGTAAGAACGGTATAAATCTGTTCAGTCCCATGTTCATTTAATGCCACATAAGTGACACGAATGATCTTTGGTAAAATGATTTACCTTTTGTGCTCAGATTAAGACGGTGGATCCAAAAACAAAGCAGTGTGCCACATTAGCAGGGACGGGAGAGGCTGGTGACGCTCTGGGACCAGAACTCAACAAATCTTGCTTCAATGAACCTGGAGGAATCTGTGTCGGCGACGGCGGGAAACTGCTTTACGTGGCCGACACAAACAACCACCAAATCAAAGTTCTGGACCTGGAGTCCAAGACTGTCTCTCTGGTTAGATTTGTGTTTTTTTACTTAAGAGAGTACGTTACATTTCACCCATGTTTATGTAATTATTCTCGACTAAAAGCAAATACTCTGACCGAGTTTGAATAAAATGTGGCTTTCTCCTTTCTCCGCTTTTAACCCAGACATCTAAATCTCTCTCCCGACAGTTCCCCGTCCTCACTGAGTGCACAGACTCTGCACCTGTGAAGCGTCCGGCTGCGACTAAAGTCCCAACGCTTCCTAAATCAGCTGTCAGGAAGAACGCACCGCCAGTGACCGTGTCCGCAGGCCAGACTGTCTGCATGTCGCTCGCCATTTCACTTCCAGAAGGAGCCAAACTCACCAAAGAAGCACCGAGCTGCTGGGCACTGTCAGCCGAAGGTGAGACGAAGTCCACTCAGAATGCATGGAAATGTTTGATTCTCTGTGATCTCAAATCACAAACATGGCTATAAGTCAATCAATTTCACAATTATTAGTTTAAAATGTGGTGTGATAGTAGCTGAGAGTCCTCTCCAACGCATACTGTTGCATTATATCATGTTAGGTTGTGCATCATGTATTTTAAAGGTCCAACAACTGGACGGGTTCTTTTTTTCTGTTGAGACGTTTTGTCCTTCATCCAAAGGACTTCATCAGTCCAAGGAGCCACAACAAACTGAGTCTCACAAGCAGCACGCTCACATAGTGGACCACCAGTTTTATAGTGATCAGATGGTTTCTGGAGTGCTTCCCCATCGACTCCTCTGAGGCAGCCATAGTCAAAATGGTTCAAAACATCAAAGTTCATGCTCAATAATCCAGGTAAAAAAATACAACGAAGTTCAGTCAGGTCATCTGGACAGTTTCTGTGGTTCACTATGTGGGTTTGCTGCTTGTGGAACTCAGTTTGTTTGTGGCTCCATTGACTGATGAAGTCCTTTGGATGAAGGACGAAACATCTCAACACACAAAAAAAAAACCCATCCAGATGACTTGACTGAACTTTGTTGGATTCAAGGATTTAAAAAATATTTTAGTGAAAAACTCTGGCAGGAAAGGCAGCAGGTGATATGCATTCCTTCAAATAATGCTTGGATTTTAATTTGATGCAGGATTTTTAAGTCCTAAGGATCGCTGAACAGTAATTAACCGCAGTCCGGGGACAGAATGGGGTGTGAGGTGATTTTCTGTAGATATCATGTGAGTGACAGTGGTTTGGACCTGAAGTGTTTCCATCCCTCCGAGTGACGCTGCAGGCAGTCAGTCGTATCAGCGGGTTATTTTTAGAACATTTCGATAAGATGACATGCCTCAGTTCACATAAGCAGCTACCAGGCTATGTTACGTGATCCTCCCCGTCCCATTATGCGGAGTCTAGACTCCCGCTGATCAGATCAGCGCCGAGGCAGGAATTTTAATGGATCGAGTTCGAGGTACACGCCAGATCTAAATTGTTTCTTCAGTGGCTTTTTACAAATGGCTTCCATGGGACATGGTGTTCAACATCAGCTTCATTAATCACTGCCAGCATGGATTTTGTCATCCCTCCGGCAGAAAAAACGTCTAGCCGTTTTGTTTGGAGTTAATCTTTTTTTTTTTTTTTTGGAAAGAAGTGAATTTGCTTTTAGAAGTGCACTTTCTGTTTTAGAAAACCAAGTCGTCACCGAACATTTTATGTGATTTAGCGAGGTTGCGTGGGTTTCGGTTGATGTTTCAGAGGACTCCTTTGAGCTTTGTGATGCTCAAGCGTCAGAGTTCAGCAGTAAATCTAAATGTCAGGCTGACGGACTCGTACAAACACTGCTGATCTTTCAGAGTGCAGACGGAAACGAGTCTAAACTGAGCTGATGTTTTTGACTTGCTCAACAAGTTAGCGCAGCACCTGGAACACACCGTAGTTTCCGGCGTATAAGTCGCTCCGGAGTATAAGTTGCATCAGTCAAAAAAAGCATCATGAAGAGGGAAAAACATATAAGTCGCTTCAGCGTATAAAGCCTTATTCACACGGGATTAATTTTACCTAAGGACCACATGTAGTAAATCAATTACTCCCCAATGTCTTTTTGTGAGGTGCATTCGCACGGGATAACCAAAGCCTGAGATTTAGCTGAAATTTACAGACATCTTCCGGATATGATGTTAACGCGCTGCGAGCCGGTCCATATAATGTGCTTAATGTGCAGTCTGGGACGGTCTCAGGCTTTGATGTGGTTTTATGAATCAGCAAAACTGAAGAATGCGCAATATAAAATTGTGTTAATCTACTTGTTGAGGAGGAGGAGGCAGGTCCAACCGGCCGGTTTAAGAGGTAAAAAAAAAACCACATTAAGCTCAGATGGACAGCTGTCACCGGCTGCGTGTGTGAGCGTCCGCTGACCCGCCGGTTGAAATGGACTTGCAACCTGTCCACGGTGTCCCCTGCCTCTCGCACATTGATGGCTGGACATTTGCACCAGCGACTCCTGCTACCCGAAAAGGAAGAAGCGGGTAAATATAATGGATGGATGGATGGATCAGCTGATCACACGCGCGTCTCCGCACCTGCTGTCATCTGCAGTGAATGAAGTAGCAGCATAAAAGCTGTCCCCTACCCGGGGACCATATATTAAATGGATTTTTGGAACAGGGAGATAGAATAGGGGGTTGCTCTGTCCAAACCATGCATTGACCTGGTATTGCAGTATCTCCAGGACCAGTGCACGAGAAAAATGAATAAAAAAAGCCGAAGCAAGCAGCGCGTTCATTTAAAATAGCCTTGTTCTATATTTTTTCCAAATTATTTTGCTTAAACAAAAAAAAAAAAAACCACGTCATTACGTATCAGATCCTGCGCATTTCTGTCCAAATCACAGAGATGCCCATTCGCACTGGATTAGTATTATCACGGGACCTCGGAGTTCATCAAAATATAGTAGGTAATTTGCAGGGGAATTTTTACTTTACAAATTACTGACATGGCCGATTCACACGGGATTAACAACACAGACGATCTCCGTAATTATTACAAATAGCATGTGGTCCCTAGGTAAAACTAATCCCGTGCGAATAGGGCTTAAATTGCATTTATTATGCATCACCGTTGACCCGTCGCATTCATTATGTGTTTATTTAATGGTCAAAACAGCTTCATTTCGCCTGGGCGGTGTGGTGCCATCCATCCACCCATCCATCCATCCATCCCGGACGGAGCTGCTAGCTCTCCAGTGTTCCTTCGCCTACACCAGCTGAGTGAAGCGAGCGCTCATGGGAGGACTCGCTGTTGCAGTTCTTAGAAATTTAAAGCGTCAGTCAAAAATTGCATTATAAATATAAAAAAAAACGTATTTAAGTCGCTTCGGCGTACAAGTCGCAGAACTGACAAATCTATGCAAAAAAACTGCAATTTATACACCGGAAAATCCGGTATTATTGCATATGTGCCGTGCTGTTTTGTGCAAACTGGACCCTGATCATTGTGATAACTGGTGTCACAGCGTAGATTACAGAAGTCCTTTCCTCAGACACATCGGATCGCTCAGGAAGAATTGTTTAATTAAAAATGACCTTCCAGCAAAAATATGGTCCGACTTTGGAATGACCATAAATGCAAGAAAAATTGTGACACCTAATATGAATTAACGTAAATGCAGAAAATGCTACACTGCCTAAAATTCATTACTGTAAATAAAAAATGTAAATTAACTTTTTTCTTAAAATTATTACCGTAAATGTGAGAATAAAATGCATAGTTTACAACAAAAATTACCATAAATATGGAAAAATGTGCAAGTTTGATATTAATTTTTTTACAGCATGTCAACATACTAAATTAGTATGTCGAAGCATGTTTTTTATTGTGATTTTTTTGTAGATGGTTTTTCACTACAGTTTAGAGCATTCTAAAATAAAAGTCAAAATAACTGAAAGGATTTATGGTGGCACTGATAAACAAAAAAAAAGACATTTTCCTTTAAATGTTCCTGATCAGTCAAGTGTAAGTAGTGTCTGCTACCATGAAAAGTGCACGATTACATAATTACCTGTGTGTGTTTGTCTGTTAGCAAAATATCTCATAAACCACTGGATGGATTTTATTGAAACTCTCAGGAAGGAATCACTACATGTGCAGCTGATTAATATTTAAAATCTACCTGATTCAACATGGCCGCCACAGCAAATCAACCTTAGCAAATACATAGATAGCTATAGCTCAACCAGTTTAACTGATATTGAGCTAAATTTTGGTGTGATAGTAGCTGAGAATCATCCTCATCACAAACTCACCTCAAAGTCTGTGTAAGGTTTTTACTTGCAACATGTTGAGCTTGAAGCATTTCATTATCTACATTTTGAGACTAGTCTGAGGAAGAAAAATGTCAATAAAATGTGCCAAAGTGATCAATGCCATGTGAACTGAGCAGAAGTCCTTTCCTAAGCAGCAAAGGTAGCTATTTATTAAACTTCTAAGCAATTTGCTGAAGATTTTAGCTGTATGTTTTGAATCTGACCCATCCCTTTGTGGAAGAATCTAAAACTTGCTTCAGTACGGCTCCAATATCCAGAATTATTTTACGACCTGTCGTCAAAAATGAAAAAGAACATATAAAATTGTGAAATTATTTAAGAATCCTTGTGTTGCTTTCAGAGGACCTTAGTGTGCCTCTTTTGTTTTCACCTGTTCCCCAGGTAACGAGTGGCTGCTGGGCGAGCAGGTGATGACGGGAGAAATCGTGGATGTGTCGCAGCCTCTCCGCATCTCAGCCAAACTCCCACCTGTCCTGAACGGGTCGGACGGAAACCTCAGCTTGGCGTTAAACACTTGGGTGTATTACTGCACGGAGGGCGGGAACACGTGCATGATGAAAGCAGCCTCGTTTACTCTTCCTCTTCACATAAACAGCTGTCCTGGAGCCGGAGAGGTCACGGTGACATTAACTCACGCCTTCTAGAAACCAGCAGCAGCCTCAGAGTTCACATGCTACTTCTAATTTCTAACTCTTTAAACCCAAGTCCTGTTTGGTTTATAGCTTCGAAAGAAGATGATTTGTTTCTGCGAGCGTTGTTGCTTTTAAACGGCGCCCATTTCAAATAAACCTGAAGCGCCATTTATTATTTCAGACTCCGACGCTCTGGTTAAAAATCACAAATGCAGTACGGATGCTTTGTGCTCGCAGCTGTTTGGAGTATTTTATTAAGATGAGGGAATAATAACTTAACGTGTGGATTTAATAGTGGTTTGTGTGACAAAGTCTTCTAAACTAGTGTCAATATTAGTGTTGGGGATGGGCATTTGACGTGACGGCGCTTGTTGAATTTGTTAGGTAATTACTGTATTTTTCGCTGTATAAGTCGCACCTTTTTGCATAAATTTGCAAATCTTGCGACTTATACGCTGAAGTGACTAATATACGGTTTTTCACATATTTTTAACCCAATTTTTGGCTGAGATCTGATGATTTCATTCATTCAGACATGGAAAATATTGAACACTACCATTTTCAACCACTAGAGGGCGAAGCAACGTATTTATGTTTTTTTCCACTTTATTAGACATGTTTGGACTGATGCGACTTATACGGCTGTGCAACGTGTACGGCGGCAAGTACGGTAAATGATTTTTCTTTGAATGTTCAACACCCCTGAGTCCTGCAGCTGAAAAAGTCTGAAGAATCTGAGGCTGCGTGTTACAGAGATGTTTGCAGCTGCCAGGAATCTTTTTTTATTATTATCTTTATCAGGCCAATCAGTCAGTGTGGAGATGTATGATCCTGTTATGGCAGTAAAGCTGAGCTCACCTTCAACCATAGTTTCCACTTTATAATCCTTTCAAAATAAACTAGAATGACAGAAATGTGCTAGGAGTGCTGGGGGGGGTGGGGTGGGGGGGGGTCGGAAATGGACGGGTGACGGGTGTTCTGTTGTGAAGATCACCCCAAGCCCACTCCTAGATATTGATTATTAAAAAGTAAAGACAGCTGTGCCGATCAAAACAAATCTTTTAATTTATTAATTAAAACTAAACTTTGAATGTTCGAAAATCACCTCTTCTATCGGTAATAGTAATAAATATTTGATAGATGGAAAGGTTCCCCAAACAGTCTTTGCACAAGTCTAAAGTCGTAGTTCAGTTATTTTGAAGTGAGGTTCTATAGAAAGGTTATGAATAAATACAGTAGTCCCTCGTTTATCACGGGGTTTAGGGGACCACGCCCCCCACGATAAGTGAAAACCCGTCAAGTAGGGATACAGTAGTCTAAGTTCAAGTTTCACGCCCAAACTCCCGCCTTCTGTGTACTTTTAATTTAAATACTGCAATATTTTAAATAAACAATCCATGCTGCATGGATTGTTTATTTAAAATATTACAGTATTTAAATTGTAGAGAAGAGAAGTGTAGCGGGACAGCAAAGGGTTAACCCTTCACACAGCAGCAGCACGGAGCAGAAATGTACTTCTTGATCAATTACACTGTAACAAATAATTGAACATAGAAGTTCTAAAATAATTGAAAATAACTTTTAACACTTTCATATTTTGTGATCATGACGACAATTTTACGATGTGACATACTTTGGATTTTAAGTTGGAAGACAAAAATTGATCGGTGTATCTGGACAGAAAAGGGTTAACCCTTCAAGAAGCTGCTGCAGCACGGAGGAGAAATGTGGGCGTGGCAGAGAGCGGCGATCATGACAGGCTGCAGAGGGAGCTTCTCCCTGCACCTGTGGGCTGCACACAGGTGCTAAATCGTTTAAAATAATTTATTTTAAATAAACAATTTTTCGCATGGCTCATCCATCAATCAGCCAGTTGTGTGTCTTGTCCACTCTTACTTTGAAAAACCACGAAAAAGCGAATCCGCGAAATTAGAACTGCGAAGTATCGAGAAACTACTGTAATACCTATTGTAGATGGATCATCAGTTCAGTTAGACTTAATCCTTGTTCTTCAGTTATAGGTGTTGGTGATAGATTCTCTGTCGTTTATTATGTTTTTTTAATAGAAGTTGTTTTTAAAGTTAAAGAAGATGAAGTAAAGTCAGAAGCCTTGAATCAACTTCCTGTTTCCAGGTGAATAAATTTCACAGACGTGGACATTTACATTGAGATCTCGACATTTTGCCACAACACCCAAGAAGTAATTATTGAATCAGTTTGTGAAACGGTCCTCACCACACTATCTGATCTCTTTCTTTCATTTCCACGACTAACGTCACAAAAGAAGCGGAAATGAAACGAGCTAATTTACTCCAGTCCAGATAGAATTTGGTCCTTGACTTTGAAAGTGGCTCTTTAGAATGCTAATACTGAGAAATGACGATTTCGCTCGTAAAAAATAATAATAAATCAGTCTTCCAAGAAGATTACTGCACTCGAAAAAAAATCCTAAATATTCAGCTTTTTATTCAGCTCAGTGCAGAGGAAGGGTTATGAAGTGGAGAAAGGCGGACATTAGGTTAAAGAGAAGTAATCTATGCAGAGACTCAGATTGCAATCCAAAATATTAAGTATTTGTGGGTTTAGATGTATTTTATATTTTTCAGGTGTATGTTATATCAACGCTTCTGAGCACTTTACATAAAAGGTTCTGTGGATGATGATGCTTTTAATAATTGTTCCCGAGCCGTTTCGATTCAGACCATTCAACATTATCCACGTCGTGAATAAAGTGCCTGTTTAATCAGTCCGCTCACTGTGTGCCAATATATTCAGATGAACAAAGTCCCATTGAAATCTGCCCCGCGGGGGGGGTGGGGGGGTCCACTGGGTCACAGTTCTGTTGTGGAATATAATTCGATCATGTCCAAGCTGCTGTTGTCGTCTAATAAAGTAATTGTGCTCGTCAGGCGGTTGTTATTTAGTTCAAGTCACTCAAGTGCCTTGGAAAAAGGGGGCATTTGGCGTGGGGGGTGGGGGGGTGGTGTACGGATTTGTGCAAACCGATGACACTTACATTTATCTGGTTACAGTGTTTCATAACGAGAGAAAGGCTCGACTCCCACCTCGGAGGTTGTTTTTGGTGGGTTTGTCTACTGATAAATGGAGACATTTCAAGTGTTTCATATTTCAACTTTTAACTCTAAAGCAGGAGCAATAATTTCTGGCATTAAACTACCGTAACTCCATACCATGACATTTCTGCCGCCATGCTTTTACACTTGTGATTTTTCTCTCAGAAATGCTGCCTTTGTTTTGCACCAAACTTCTTGTCTTTTCCCAGTTTTGCTCAAAATTTCTAACAATCCACAATTTTGGAGGATTTTTGACGACGATTCACTTTTAAAACGAAAAGAATCAAAGCGTCGTCTTCAAGATTCAAACTTATTTTCAGTCTGATTTGTTACGATTGCTACGACGAAGAATTGACACCAGATATGCTTAAAATGTTCTCTTAGTACGAGCAAAAACAAATGTTCCTGTCAGTCTGGTTTTATCTTACTAGTTTCAAATTATAAGTGTAAAGACTTTGACTCTTCTTTGTGAGGAAGGAACATTAATCCTGTGGAAGTCGTTTTAAAGTCTTTTTACACCGAAGAAACAATAAATGACAACTTGATGATGCGTTCAAGTGCTTCACCTTTATGAATGAAGGGCGTTTAAAGACAGTTAAATGTGTTGCGTCCTTCTTTAAGTGCATTTTATGATAAAGAAAGTCTGAAGAAATTTTATTGTGACTATAATAATCTCTTTCAAAATATTAAATATTAACAGTGGGAGTGGAAAAACGACAATTACTTAAAGAGTCAAATGGATTAACTGTGTTTGGCCCCGTGGCGCCTTCCTCATCAGCTTCCTCACTTTTCTGACAGCATCATTAACCCTGTGTGATTTTAGCTGCTGTCATCTCTGCAACACACACACACAATCTCCATCTGACACAACACCATGAAATGCACGCAGACATTTAAAGGAATAAAAAAAACGTTTGAAGGCTTCTACAAGTGGTGGCTCATACAATAATTTCCTAGAATAATAATTTTTTTTAATCAGATAAGCACTTTCATGAGTAAATTGCTCCTTTTAGCAGCACAAAAGCAGCTTTTAAAAAGAACTTAAACCTCTTTTTATGTCTCATAATCTGTGAAGATGCTGATTTTTAGCTGAATTAGCAGCTTTTAAAAGGTGACATTGACAGGATATTTGGTGAAGTAGTTTTGATGAAGGAGAAAATCCATTCAAAGGAGTTTAATTGTAGATAAATGTGTTTGTTTTTCTCTTCATTGTGGCTTGAAGCGCTTTATTTAAAATCGTATCTTTGTTTTTCTCTTCATTGTGGCTTGAAGCGCTTTATTTAAAATCGTATCGCTGCAGGAAACCAAACCCTTCTGGATTTCACCGTGTGTGATTCAAAGACAGAATGCAAAATTTTAAAAAAGCAGGAGCTTCGTTTTGTTTTGAAAATGTGATGGCTGAACCAGTGGGCCTCCCTCTGCTGAGGCTCGGTCTACAAATAGGACTGTGCCACTTCAGCTGATGAACTTTGACCTTTGACTCTGCCTGCGTTCACATGAGGTCGAGCTGAACCGGCTCGACTTTTCTTTCCTCCAGCACAAACGTACGTGGGACGTATTTGCTGTTCTGTGGTCGAGGGCACTTGAGTGAAAGTAGGCAAGCAGCTGAACATCATCATTAAATGTTCAGCTACAACGAAAAAGGCTAAAATGTTTTCAAGTGTTACTTTGAATATATTGAAAAATAGAAGGCTGTAGAGCTTTTTTTTGTTTGTTTTTGTCTTTTTTTACATTTCTAGAAATGGCTTGAGGAAATGCACTTTTTGTCCAAAATAGTGCTGAATGGTGAGTGACTGAAAAAAATAGCTGAATATGCTCAAACTGAGTTAGTAAATCTAAACAAAACTGTAGCTAAAAGCTAAAAGAAGCTTAATGCTAAAGCAGCAAAACACTAATTCAAATAGTCAAACTCTAGCTTAAAGTACTGAAAGACTATACAGCCAAAATCAAAAAGTAGCTATATAGCAGCTATCATTTGTAATTAGTTTTAGTTACTTTCGGTAGTTTTATCTATTTTTAGTTTAGATTAGCTAAAATATTTTGATACTTTTAGCTAAAAGCAAAAATTAGCAGAGCAATAGAAAAAAGCAAAAAATGGCAGAACATTAGCTAAAAGCTAAAGGCAGCAAAACTGTAGCTTAGAGTTAAAATGCAAAACAATTGTAAAAAGCTTAAAGTAGCAGGATGGTGGCTAACAGCTAAAAGTAGAAGAAAGATTGCTAAAATGAAAAAGTAATAAAACAGTAGCTAAAAAAATACCAGAACAATAGCTAGAAACTATAAATTGTAGAGCAGTTACTAATGGCTAAACATAATAACAAATGTAATAACAGCTAGAATGTAAAAGAGCTGAACTTTAGCAAAAAAAAAAAAAAAAAAAAAAAAAAGCTAAAAGTAGCTGTATGGTGTTTAAAAGCTAAAAGTAGCTAAATGTTAGCTAAAAGGAACAGAACATTAGCTATTAGCCAAAAGAGCAAATTATAAAATTAAAAGCAGCATAAAATGACAAAAATAATGTCAATAAGTTGATTCAGATTATGAAAGAAGTCAACGATTCATTTCTAAGTGGAATAGTTTTAATAAAGTCAAATATTTAAAAAGTCTAAAGGTTACAAAAACCTAAAATCACAGCAGTCATCTGAATGAGCTGAAAGTTTTGACGCATGCTAAAACAGCACAAATATATATAAATAAAAGAAAAACAAACTAAAGAAAACAGCTTAGTTTTATTTACCATATCTTCGTTGTGATAAAATCAAAAAAGCCCATCTTAACACTAAAGAACTCAACATCTTTTTGTTTCTTCAAAGGTTTGAGCTATGAGAAGAAGCACGAGCAGAAATAAGAAGACGGGCATGTAGCAGCTTCCATGTAGCTCCTAACAGGTTGCTGAAATCAGTTTCGTCATTTCTTCAAATTAAAAACTGTAAAATCCTGACTCGGTGAAGCCACAGGGTCACATCTGTAACCATCCAGATGTGAGGCTTCACAGCTTCAGAGACGAACTGCTCATTTAGTTTGAGCCGTCCGTGTGTTGCAACCGAGAGAAGTAAAGTCGCTTCATCTTCCTGCACACCGAAGGAGATCTGCAAGCAAAGGGGGAACTCGCAACAGAAGATCTGTCCCGACTGTATCACTCCAAGACTCTAAGGACGTAACGGAGGCTCGTTTATGCTGGATGTGTGAATGGAGGCAGGAATCTAGCTGCTCTGATTCAATGAGTGCAGAATGTCTGCGTCCACTATTTGTTTTAGATGTCTGCTATTATAGGTTTATATTATTTAATGTTTATAAAACACTTTTTTTCAGTTCATTCCAGGAAAACGCACCTGTTTTTTTTTTTTTTACAAACTCAACATATTCAACTTTTTAAAACAACCTTTTGAGTTTAAGGGTCATAAATCACCCTTAGATTGTGTGTGTGTGTGTGTGTGTGTGTGTGTGTGTGTGTGTGTGTGT